ATGTGTTTTACTCCTAAGGATCGACTCATAGCTTGTTTAAATTTTGAATTAATTTGATTTCATTGCTCTTGAATAGAAATTTAGTTAATTGGGCATCGTAACTTCTCTAGAATTTTACGTCACATTTATGCTATACCATACGTGGTCGATTAAAATGTTACTTTTGCTAGTGTAGTCATTCGAATTATTGATTCTGCTTGAGTATTAATTACGGTTTTAGTTGTTGAAAGATTAATGTTAGAACATTAATAAAACGTCATGAGCTTCAAAAATAGAAAAATAAAGTTCATTAATATCATTCAATATTCATCAAAACTACTACATCAAAACTTACTTCTAAGTTCAAAATAGGAAACACAGTTTTAAATAGAAAATACAAATTACCTCCCCTTATATCAAATTAAAAAAATCTTGATTCTTAGAGTAGACCTATAGCCTTAGCAAACATTTCTGTTTTGGGCCCCGACAGGGACTTCGTGAAGAGGTCAGTAAGGTTTTCTGATTCTACTTTGATCATTCTGTTACTAATAAACTCTCTCACAAAGTTGTATTTAACAACAAAATGCTTACTTCTCTCCGTTATAGTTTCATTTTCTGCAATTGCAATCGAACCTTGGTTATCACAATACACAATTTCTCTTTCATAAATTAAATCTTCTTCACTTAATTCACGTAACAAAGATTGTAGCCACAGAAATTCACACATTGACTCATAAAGGGCGATATACTCTGCATGAGTTGATGAACTGGCTACGCATTTCCGTTTTCGGCTTTTCCAAATAACTGCTCCATTCCAAAAATTAAAAACATAACCAGTTATTGATTTTGCATCATTTTTATCACTAGTCCAGGCTGAATCACTATAACATAAGAAAACACAATTTTTATTATAAGTTAATCTATAACCTATTGTTTTCTTTAAATACTTTAACACATTTTGAACACCTCTCCAATTTCTTACAGTGGGTCTCTGATGGTTGCATTGGCTCAATTTACATACAGCATTTGCAATGTCAGGCCGAGTACAAGTGCTGATATAAAGAAGGGAGCCTATCGCCTTTTGATACAATTCACGGTCAAAATTGTCTCCTTCGCCTTTCGCTTCAAAATGCGCTCCTACTTGAAGTGGACAAGAAGTGCCTTTAGATTCTGACATATTGTACTCATTCAAAATCGATTTTATGTACTGACTCTGATTTATGGTTATAACATTCTTACTAGGTCGATCAAACTGTATTGATATGAACGATCTGACGGGACCTAAATCTTTAAGTTTGAAAATTTTACCAATAATTTCTTTAAATTTTAAAACTTCTTCAATTCCCGAAACCAAAAAATCGTCTACATAAACGGCCACTATAATGTCTTTCTTAAAAAATATGCAAGGTTCACTGATAGGTACATTTGGCAAAATCTAAACTTAACATAATGGATGTTACGTGATTATACCAGTTCCTTCCTGATTGCTTAAGGCCGTATAGACTTTTTTTAAGTTTACAAACGAATTTACCATTATCGAGTTCTAATCCATCAGGTACTTCCATCAATACTTCCTCATCCAAACTGCTATTTAGGTAAGCTCCGACTACATCTACATGATCCACTACAGGACTCATAGTTTCAAAATAGTTTACTCCGTGAGTAAATGAGTAAAACCTTGTGCAACAAGTCGGGCTTTATATTTCTTAATGTTTCCATCTCCCTTTTTGATTGTGAACACCCATTTGCAGCCTATTACCCTTGCACCTGGTTGTCGTTTTATAATTTTCCAGGTTTCTTGCAAATTTAAATTCTGAAATTCTTTATTAATGGCATCCTCCCATGCAAGTGCGTTTGAGCCATTCACAACTTCCTCATAACTGGACGGAATCTTCTCTTCATGATCGTAGAGTTGAGTAGACACACAACATGGCAATTTACATAATTTTCTTGTTACTGGTGCTCTACCAGATTTTCTTAATTGTACAGGTCCTTCGTCAGTATTATCCATTTCAGTGTGCTCTTCTCCTTGGTTATGAATCATTTCTTCTATTACAGCTTCTTGATTTTGAATTTCCAGCTCTCCATCTAACACGTCTTGATTCTGGGCAACCATTTCTCCTTCGGATACAATTTCAATAGAATAATTTTTATCTGTAGAGATTTCAGAAAACAATCCTTCTTTCACTCGCTTAGGAAATTGCAGTCAAAATTGTTAATCTTAAATGTCTGAGTTTGGTTTCGACATTCACTTGGTACTTTCAATACAGGTTGTTTAAATGGAAAAATCTCTTCCTGAAAAATTACATCTCTCATGATGATTACCTTTCTTCGCTTCAAACTCCATAATCGATAACCATCCTTCATATTTTCGGCGAATCCAATAAGCACACACGTTTCCGCTTTTGATTCAAATTTGCCCATGCTTGGCAACCAAAAATTTTAATTAAATTTGCTTTCTCTAACTTTAATTTCTTATTGTGCCAGATTTCGTAAGGTATTTTGAAGTCAATTGCAGATGAGGGGCACCAATTTCTGATAAAAACTGATATCATAATTGCCTCAGCCCAAAAATTCATGGGTACACCGGATTCTAACATCATCCATCTTGCCATTTCTACCAGAACGCGGTTCTGATGTTCTGCCAGACCATTTTGCTGCGGACAACCTGGTGCACTACTCCTGTCTTTTATTCAATTTTCATGCAAGTACTTCTCGAAAACATGTAATATGTACTCTCCGCCATTGTCACTTTGCAGGTTCAGTAGCTTTTTCTGTTGATTTTCCGCTTCCTTGTGAAATCTAACAAATTCAAGGAACGCCTCATCCTTTGTCTTCAAACATTTGGCAACGATATAATGAGAGTAATCGTCAATAAGAGTCATAATAAATAATGATCCGCCCATAGATGGTGGTGAAATTTTACCCATTAGGTCGCTGTGGATGATCTGCAATACTGCTGTTGTTTTTTCGCTTCTTTTCTTAGGAAAACTAAAACGACTGAATTTTCCTTGAATGCAAACTTCACATTTCTCATCGTCTTTATTTGGTTCTTCTTTTAAATTTTTGAGAAAAGGAATTCTCAACAAATCCCTTTTATTCACATGCCCAAATCTTCGATGCCATAGCTGCATGTTGTTGACTGCTCTACATGCTAATCCATTCTTCTGTCCAATGTTAAAGTTTTCCCTTCTTACATCCGCAGTATTTACAACGTATCATCCTTCTTTGCTCTAAAGATCAGCTAATCATTATCCAAAACTACTCCTCTTTCTCCAGTGAAGATTTGTGTCCTAAATTTCCACAGGTGTAGCACTTGTAGACTCGATCTTCATTTCTACTTTCTCCTTTAACTCGTTGAGTATTGTTTCCATGGTTTTTCGACTTCATACTTTGGTTTTCTTTTGACTTCTGCACTGCTGTTTGACTTCGTCTGTTTTTGTCGACAGTCTGTCCAATCTGATTTGACGTTTCTCTTCCACCAACAATTTACTTATGATGTCATCACGACTTAAACTTTCTTGATGTTCCAATGTTCTAATGAAGATTTTATATTTGTCCCTTGGAAGACCCCTCAGAATAAACAATGAGAGAGCATGTTCATCAAAAGTTATACCGCAACGTAAGATTTTTCGGTTGAGATCAAGAATTTTTGAAATGTACTCGGTCATTGAAGTATCTCCTTTCTTTATGGTAGTTAAATATTCCAGAAATTCAAGTTGATGCATGTGGTAGCCCCCGACACGATCTTCCTGATGGTGGAGTCAATTCGAATTGCGGGTGCACGGAACGTCGGAAGTGGGTACCGTCAAAGGGAATGTGGTAGCCCCCAACACGATCTTCTTGATGGTGAAGTCAAATCTTCAAACGCGAATTGCGGGTGAACGGAACGTGGGAAGTGGGTACCGTCAAAGGGAATGTCGTAGCCCCCGACACGATCTTCCTGATGGTGGAGTCAAATCTTCAAACGCGCATTGGAAGGGAACGGGACATTGGAAGTGGATACCGACAAAGGGAATATGGTAGCCCCCGACAAGATTTTACTGATGATGGAGTCAAAACTTTAAACGCGAATTGCGGGTGCACGCGGAAAGAGGAAGCGTGTAGTGAATGTAGTACCCTTAGACAAGATCTTTTATTGTTGGTTGAGTGGAAAGTGGCTAATAGAATACTGATCTGCCACACAAAAATGCGCTGAAGTCCCTTCGATCTCACATGAGGACTTTGATAATTTTTTGAGATGTAGACATCTCGGCCGTACGGGGTTTTGGGTTCATTTATAAAGGGTGAGTGACGAGCTTTTCCTATAGTGGCACTTGCACACTGCATAGGGCATTTCATAATAAGTATGCTACCTACAGATTAATTATTTTAGTTCTACTCGTAAATTATACTAATTAGTAATTGCAATGAATGGAGAAGAAGAAGACCAAAGAAAAGGGGTTATCTACTAACTGAAACAATATGCAGTTCGTATGTTTTTCTGTCTGCGCCAACCTCATTATGAAGAAGGCGAATTTTTGAATGCAAATTATTTCCTGCATTTTCCAATGGAAATTTTTTTATATCAGAACTGTCACGTGCGCACGATTTGTATTCACATAACCCTAATCAATATTTATAAACCAACATGCAGTGTTATTGCACAAATGCAGTTACTAATTTATGTACCTATTCAGCGAAATTAATTTCAAAAACACTTCCTGTTGCTTTACGAAAAAAAGATTTCCTGTAGCCGCCCGAAAAAATCCACACGTGAACGTCTCTTATTACAAGCAATTGTTTGTGCCATCAGATCAACTGACAGTCAACATACAAATTCCACTACAGTCAAGATTAACCTGTCAACATAACAAGAGGATAAAATATTTTCGGGATTATTCACCTCTCCGAAAGTATAAGTGGAAAAAGTATTTTCACATTTCTAGTTTCCGTTCCGCCTGTCTTCCTCTGAATCAATTTTTCGCCACACACACGCCCTTAATTAAAGCCCAAATACGCTATGTATTCATGAAACTCACCTTTCACTTTCCGACCAGAACGCCAAAGTTAATTTTCACTTGCATACGTCCGAAACACTGGTAAATATCCTGAAAATGAAAAAGTTCGTATTAGTTAAGCTAAGAAATTTTCTCTCGGAGTGGCTTTAGAACACGTTTAATTAACTAAGCGCAATTTAAAATGGAGAACTTATAATTCACGTCAAATTCAGCGCTCCAAAGCCCGAAGGAATTTATTAATACGAAAATTACCTTCATTTCGCCACCTTCATTGAAAACTTAAATTTTTCAATTCAACGCGATTGCCTTCATTATTATTCGAGAAATATGCTACCTACTTGCCGCTGCGATCAAGATCAGGCAGTCGGACTAAACAAAATCCGAGACAAAATCATTACTTTCCTTTGCCTATAAGATTTATCTTTTCCAACACTGCAGCTGAAGCAATCTGTACCTTCATAGATAAAGGAAACAAATTGTAATTGATCGTATGTACAGGGTGACTCAATTTCACCGAAAAGCAAACCGATATTAATCGTCTTTGTGTTATTCGTTCCGCTTAAATTCTTCCGTTTCGTTCGTAAGTTTCCATGTTTTCCCACTTTTACCTCTCATTGCATTACGTTTCCTACTTCGGTGTTATGTTTCCTTTCGCCTTTGTATTTGATTCCTAGTTGCATTCTAATTCTACTTCAGCTATGTCTTACAATTTTGTTTTTGTTTGGGGCGTGCTAGGCTCTTTTAGATCCATGGTAGATACTTGAAATGACCCAAGCCCCTCAATAATATTCTAGGTCTCTACACAGCTTCCAAAATGTGACAACTCTTCTTAAAAACTGTCTAGTCGTCAGAAACCCCTCCGTTTCAATGCGTTCTAAACCTCCTTCAGGGAGTGGCTTGGTTCACAAAGCTTTCCAAAAGTCTAAGAACCCTTCCAAAACTCCCTAGGTGCTACGAAGGCTCTTCCAAAATGTATCAAATCTAACGCAAAAGTTTCTACTTCGTTAATCAACTTATCATATGCCTCCTCTAGCTTTTCATGCTCATTTAAAGCTCCCTATAGTCATTCCAGAAACTTGAATCTTTAAATCTCTGCACTATAAAGAAGCGTTTCGCCAATAAAGACTTTCCAAATTGCGAATTCGATCCACGCCTTAAACATAATATGAGGTTTACGAGTCGTTCTCTACCAAGCGGTAAATTTTGGCACTAAAAATTGGTGATATCCACGATGATCTCCTCGTAGAAAACCTCACACGTGTTCGTCTTATTTTCAAGAGCAGCCCTGAGACTAAACTGTGATTTTTTAATGTATTTCGTATCATTCATTCATTCATCTTAGTGTTATTTTTCCTTTTAGTGAAGTTGCGTGTTAAAAAGTAGACACATCTGGTCGTTTGCAATACGTTTTGTTATCGGACGTTATGCGTTCTTATTGCTGTTAGAAGAATTGCGCGTTAGTTCGGCGTAAGTGGGGACGCGTGACGCGTTCTGGCGTTATCAAATCTAATTGTAATTGCCGCTGTTTTTGAAAGATTTTGAGGAAGAAGATTACTTTAATGTAGAAGTGGTGTTTTTTTAAATACTGGGAATCAATGACACAACGAGCTAGCGGTTTCGCGACGGTTGTGTACGTTTTTACGCTCTTTTTATTCGCGTAATCCGCCCGATTGTATTAGTTAAAGAAGTAGTTTGTCTTTATTATTATTATTTTGTTCAGAACCAAGTTAACTAAAGCTGTGTGAGAAGCTCAAAGCGGTTTGTTCATTTTGTGGAAAAAGTCTGACAAGTTAAACAAAAAGTATATACCGTCTGAACATCCACCGGCCATTTTTCTGATCGAGTTAATGTTGTAATGTATGTAATTTTAAGATTTTTTTCTTTTATTTGTCGTCCGCCTGCGTGCGGGGTAGTTTGTCCAAACAAGCTTTGTAATCTTTTTTCTTTCAGAAACTTTCTTTTAATTTTTCATTTCATCTATTTCACACTAAATGTTTGCCATTCTCAATCAATTAAATGTGTGTTTATTCGCATCCTTTGTGCGACCCGGATAGAGTTATCATGTTAGATTTTTCTTCTCATGGCCAAGAAATGTGTCAGGTGTTAATGGAAATTTGTATATGTAGTTAAGGGAGGCAAGAATGGGGATAAAAAATGACCCACCCTTGTTATCAATTTTGTTTTGTTAAAGCACTTGAGTGACAGGTCTGATTTAATTCATGTGCACTTTGATTACTTTTGTATAAGGTTGATGTAATTTATTAGCGATAACAATGCATTTTAATGGGCAAAAAACAGGGCGGTTTTCGTAGAAAATTGTTATCTGAGATATAACATTTTAATCCCTACGTGGCTTAAGGAGCGCCAAGAATGGGAGTTTTGATTGATTGTCATGTTGCTACATACCGTTAATTGGAAGAAGTTTGTTTCGAATTTTAGACGTAGGGAAAACACGTTAAACACTGCAGTTGGCCTTTTGTTAATTTCGAGGCCGAGTTGCTGTTCGTTGAAACCTCAGAAGACGCGCGTCCTGCGTTAAGTTTCGTATGGTTCAAGAAATCAGCGGAGTTCGAGCAAAAGTTTTGAGAAGACGTATTTAATAGTTGGGTGTAGTTGTCATCTACTGTTTTCGAACAGCAACTGTTTCTTCTGTCGTGTGTTTGGTCAGCCAGTCTAATTCAATTCAAAAATCGAACGCTTATGGGGGTTGGGTAAACGGACCTTGTTCATTTTGATTGTTAGCTACGTTTACCCAAAATCGTTCTGAAACCTCCATTTCTCATGCCTACTTTCTGTCAGGAAATTTTAGTTTCCATGACAGAGCTAGAGCAGACTACGTTTCCTGCCGCTTGATACTTTACCGGCCGCATCTGTGACATTGCTAAATGTCAATGGGGATTAACGATAATTCAACCGCTTTAACCGGATTGGTAGAAATCACCATAGAAACAATTGTGGCAATAATTGTAACCATAGCAAAATCTACCAACCCGGTTTAACCGGTTGTATTATCGTAAATCCCCAATAATGACTCCTGTTATACCTGACAGACTGACAATCAAAACTTATAATTATATAAATTGAAAATTTATATTAAAATACGATTTCTGGTAAAATTTCATACAAAACTCGTCAGTAAAATGAAATTATCGGACTCGGAAATATTATATATTTAAAACCTGTGTTTATTCGAACCCTTTAACGTTCCAGATTAATTTATGAACAAGTTTTTTGTTCCGTACCCAAAGTTTATTTCAGGTATCTTCAAAATTTGTTTAAGTAACCCTTTTAGAATTCCAGGATTTTGATCGTGGCCATTATTTGCGTTAGAATTTGGAATTTGAAGTCGAGAATGAAATTTTTCATTGTGCCGAGATTCGAATATGTCCTGGGAGAATTGTAATAAGAGAGCAAGCTAGGTTTAAGGTGTTTTGTGTATCGATGATTTTGGTCGGGCCATTGCACACAGCATAATGACAGTTCTGATTTAATTTATGGGTACTTTGATTACTTTTATAAAAGGTTGATAAGACAATTGCCCGTAACATTTTGATACCTAAGGGGCATCAAGAAACGGAGTTTTGATTGGTTGTCCTGCTGCTACGTTCTGTTAACTGGAGGAAGTTTGTATAAAATTTTGTAAGTAGGGAAAACACGTTAAATATTGAAATTAAATGTAAATTGCGAGGCTGAGTTGCTGTTCGTTGAAAGCTTAGAAGACGCACGTCCTGCGTCATGTTTCGTCAAGTCTCTATTTAAAATAACAAAGTTGATGGCTACTTCCGGTATTTGTGGAAGTGGTGCAATTTTGGAAATATTTTAGTTCAATTCATCATGTGCCAAAACCCTTAAGGGGCCATTTCAGTTTAGTTTAATTTTCAAAGGTTTTCCTTATCTTTCTAACTGACGCTCGCCAAGAATGACCGTGTATGCATAAATGCGCAGATATGGATGTAAATTCCCAAGAGCTGGCATCTCCGTGGAATTCCCAGAGAAATGTGTAAATTTACATCTGTGAACTGATAAAAAATAACTTGTATGATTCTTCTACGCTTCCGTACAGAGCACAAAGCCGCCTTTGTAGTAAGACATCTGTACATTACGAGATAGATCTGTAGATTCCCAGAAAATTCTGTAAATCCCCTGAAAGATCTGACGGTTATTAAGAATTCCCAGATAACCGCGGTGTAAATTTGCAGTTAGATAAACAAACATTGTATGGACATCCACCCTTCGTAAATTTGATAACTTTGTCTTGAGAATTAAAGAAAATAATGAACGGTTTTTAAGTGGGTACTCACCAAAAGGTCCTACGCACAACCACAGTATCCACCTTGTGCAACGAATACTGATTTAATAATAATACAAATAAAAACAATTATAAATTTGTAATAAATATTTGTATTGCTCTTATCAAATTTACTGATAACGGTGCGGTTATAGCATAGGTTTCTTGTAACTTATATTTATAAACCTCAATTTCAGTAGAAAATTTCCAAGGATATATGACACCCGAAGATTCCTTATAAATGGCCATTAGTGAAAAATCCCCCATGTCCGATCAGCACGGAGATGATTGGAAACGTGAAGCCGCGCGCGGTGTAAAAAAATGCGAATGTTTCCACTTTTCGGGTTACCCGACGTCGTTGTCGACCAGTTAATTAAAATCCCCGGAAACTTCATTAAAACCAAACAAAATCATTAGCAATAGACAGCCCGAGCCGGAGCCCTAGAAGATGCACTATAATAATACAGCAATTTGCATAAATTTGAAAGTCAAATCGAATCGAATTTCGCAAAAGGAATCGAAGATTTTATTAAAATAAAGACATTCCTTGTTTGCGTTTGTTACCCGCGCCCTTAATAACCCTTTTCAAAGTAGACCGTATTCGACACTTCCCATTGCGAATGAAAGTTTGTACAAAGAAAAAAAAGGGAACGAAACCGAAACGAGTTGATAATTAAAACGCTTTTTGATTAACTCGAAATACTCATCTCCTTTGTGTAATGCGGAAAATGATTACTTTGTAGCAATTCAATTTATTATTGTGTAGTATCTTATAATTTTAATGACTGGTTATGGCTTCTGCAAAGCGTAATTACCAAAAGCATTCAATCCCAAATGTGGGTTTTAGAGTAATTTGCGAACTCTGAAATTCGGTTTTGGGCGCTTTAATGAAAGATATTGAAACACAAACCATATCATAGATAGGTGGTAGATTTTTCTGCAAGTCAATAACATCTTAAAGAAAACCAGAAAATTCCGATTACTTCCGAAGATATGGCAGAAAAATCGAAATTTGCCGATTTAGTTTTTATTTTTTCCTGGGATTTGCAGATGCAGCAATAAAAAAAACACTGTTTCATTGCCTGTTTTTGAGCTCTACAAGACACCGTTGAGAGAATTTCAATACAACGTTTAGTTTCGAAGAAATCATTGATTAAGTTTATTAACGAGCTCCTAGCGAGTTTATAATTTTGCGGTGTCTGTCCCTTCCGTCCGTCCGTCCGTTAGCACGATAGCTCATAAACGAATGGACCGATTCCGCTGAAATTTTGTAGGTGGATTCTTTATCAAATTTGTAGATCGGAGTTCGTGAATTGGCAATGTAGCCCAAAAAATAAAGTAGGCCCTTTTCACATCTACGTTAGTTATGAACCGAATTGCATGAAATTCAACATGCGCATGACTTTAGCCATACAAAACGCAATTCCAAAAGTTGAGCCTAATCGATCAGCATTCACAGTGCCCTTTACGCATCTCGACCATTTACAAACCGAATTGCAAACTTTCTCATTTATGGAGGCATTTAAATAAAATTTGATACATAGCCACTTGGAGCAAAACCATATTTAACGCCAGTTTCAAAATTTCGTTTTGCGCATGCGCAGTGCCAACTTTCTTATTTATGGAAGCAATTAAATGAAATTTCATACATATACACTTTAAATTAAAGCAAAACTAACATCAGATTTAAAATTTGGTTTTGCACATGCTATAGTCATACCCAGGAGCTCGTTTGCTACATTTGTTTAATTTATTTTTTTATATGACACGTGTAAAAAAAGTACATACTGTATTTAGTAACATTTTTTTATTACGAATATATCGATATACGGCACATACAAAAAAACAAAAGTTGGCAATTGTTGGTTTCAACAGGATAGTGCAACCGCGCACAACGCCCGAATCGTGTGAAAATTTGTCTCAAAGGTATTCTCGCTTCATACGGGCTCTTAACGCAGCCTTGTAGAGCTCAAAAAGTGGCAATGAGAAAGTGTTTTTAGCGCATTTCCACAAAAAAAAAATGCGCTATTGTGGCCACTTTGTCCGTCCGTCCGTCCGTCCGTCCGCTAACTTTGCGACGCTACTAGTTTTTTATCTTAAGAGCTATTGTTCTACTTTTTCGCTATTTGGTTCGTTATGGTGTCGAGTCTTGTACCAAGGAAGGAATTTTTTCTGTACCGCTTACAAAAAAAGTTATTGTAAAAAAACAAAAAAACCGTTTTTTACATGTTCCATAATTTTACACTTTTGCCGTTTATTAACGATCCTAGAGATCGTTTATAATTTTGCATTGCTATCTGTCGCCTGCCGGTTGGTCTGTCCGTCTGTTCCTTTGTCTGTCTGTCCATCTATCTGTCCGTGTGAACGATAACTTTGTTTAGAAATGTTCGATCGCTTTTACATCTCCGTTAGTTATGAACTGAATTGCATGAAATTCAATATGGGCATAGATTTAGCCATATAATACGCAATGCCAAAAGTTGAATCGAATCGATTCAAAATTCACAGTGCCCTTTTCGCATCTCGACCATTTATAAACCGAATTGCAAACTTTTTTACTTATAAAAGTATTTGAATGAAATTTGATACATAGGCACTTGGAATAAAGGAAAATCAAACGCCAATTTCAAAATTTGGTTTTGCGCATGCGCAGTGCCAACTTTTTTATTTATGGAAGAATTTAAACGAAATTTGATACATAGGCACTTGGGATAAAGGAAAATCAAACGCCAGTTTCAAAATTTGGTTTTGCGCATGCGCAGTGCCAACTTTTTTATTTATGGAAGAATTTAAACGAAATTTTGATACATAGGCACTTCAAATAAAGGAAAATCAAACGCCAATTTCAAAATTTGGTTTTGCGCATGTGCAGGCAGTGCCAACTTTTTAATTTATGGAAGAATTTAAATGAAATGTGATACATAGGCACTTGGAATAAAGGATCATCGAGCGCCAGTCTCAAAATTTTCTTTTTGCGCATGCGCAGTGCCAACTTTTTTATCTATGGCACCATTTAAGTGAAATTTGATACTTAGGCGCTTGGAACAAAGGAAAACCTAACATTAGTTTTAAAATTTAGGTTTGCGCATGCGCAGTTCCAACTTTCTTATTTAGAAAAGCATTGAAATGAAATTCTTCTCATAAACTGAAATTGAAGTAACACGTCAAAAATGGATTGTCCATGTGCAACGCTATTTTCATATTTGTGGCCGGATTTTTACGATTTTAACAGAAGTTGCATCTTATAAATGGGAAATGAATGCAAGTGGAAATGCGCTTTATGTAAATCGTTTACGATTACTTTTTAACTTTTTTTACTTCTAAGGGTACGTTTATGTTGGTGCTGCGAGCTGCGAGCAGCGCAGCGCTGAAAGCGGAGGGACGTTTTGCAAAATATTCTAGTAAATCGACGTGATTATGTTCAAACGGCCCAAACCCATAGGTGCATCGAGAAGAGCTAGTGTCGTTGTTTTTAGGGTGGATATTATATTTTTTTCATCGCTGCTCTGCTCGTAGCTCGCAGCGCCAACGTAAAAACGTACCCTTATATGTTCCGAGTTACGGCGGCGGAAATATGAATATGTTTGTGAGTTTTTTTTATGTTTCTGGATATTTATTACATATAGTTATAACAATGTTTTAAATTCAAAGTGTACTCATTTCCACACCACGGTGAGGTATAGAAAGTGGCGCGTTTTCATTGTTGTGGTATCACCGATAAATCTAAGCCACAAAGTTGTGATGCTTAAAGGTCTCTATCCACTACAACGTATCATACCATGACTGTAATAGGAACGTGCCAGGCAAAAAAATATTGGTTGCATGGAATAGTATGGGAGTATTATGCCCACTAGACCGTTAGTCACCGACCAGCAACGTAACGTGCCATGCATGGAGCGTCAACGAATATTTTGACGGTGCCGATACGCACCGTGCATGGCACGCGACGGTCCCAAACCGGTGCGCGCAGGCGCAGAAATGATGAACATATTCGTCATCGACTAGGTCTAAATAATGCCCAGTATTTTCCCTCGACTTTTCGTTTCGCACCCTCTTCCTGACGCGTTTGTTTACAAGTACAACCGCGCCAACGGGAACCGTACGGATACGACACGTGGATGCTACGGTCACTATAACCGTTACGTACGGGTATGATACTGTCTAGGGGGCATAGTAGTCCGTATCGTATATTTTCCGTGCCTTTCATAGTACGGTCATGATACGGTACGGTGTAGTGGGCCGATGCCTTAAACCACCATATTTTTCTTTGATGTTCCTGGCCGGTTTATGTTGCCGTCTTGATTGTATCATGATAGTGTTTCTGATCTGACAATATATTGTTCTTCCACTACTAGGTCCTCGTCATCTTCGTCCTCACTATCGAGTCGGACCACGCGCCGGTACACTTTCGCATGACTGACTTCTGCAGGACGCACACACAGAGCACAAACCATATTTCCTGAAACCACATGCTACGCCGCATCTCTTTCGACAAGTACCATTTTTGGACTTGGTGGTATGTCCTGAAGGCACGATACCGTACAGCGTCTCCGTTGGTGTCCACTGATACCTGATGAAACTGGAGGTGCAAACGTATATACCAATTCCCAACCCAACTATATTCCAACGATTCAGCCGATTGAAATGTATGGAGCTTAATGCAAGATATAATTTGTAATTGAGAGTATGTAAAATTTGTATGTTAGAGGTACCGTAAAATTTCGTTAGATTTTAATTTATCGTATTAAATCGATTACGTTGACTTTCAAAAAGAAGATTCTCTAAATTAGTCCAATGCCGCGAACGAGGGGCGAGTTATCTATCTCGGGGGCGAGATTCTGCCAACCGTACTTAAGGTAACAGCGTTGTTTACAGTTCACGCAAGAGAGCCCTACATTATTTGTTTGATCACGTGCCACTTTTAGATTTCACATTCAATCAGCACTTTAACACTTTAAATAAATACAGGTTTATTATAAATGATTCATCGGGTTTCAAAATGTTATATTTGATAAAGTATTTCACTTACAGTAATCATTGGTACATCAAAAGAAGCAGAAACTCTTCAAGTACACTCTCAAAATTACAAATGATCGATGTGTGCCTATTTGTCACACGTCCAAATGGTAATCTAGCTCAGACCACACATTTTGTAATATGTCCATGTCTATTGTTAGCACAGCAGCACTGATGCGTCTCTTAGATTCGTCAAGTGATCTTGGCACATAAACATAAACATGATCCTTAACATATCCACCTCATAGGAGGGAGTCACAAGCTGATTCATTTGTGGCAGTACGCCCGATCCAGTGTTCTAGAAGTTCGTCATTGAGCGACTTCTTCCTTTGGGGGTATATCAAGAATCATTTTTCTGTACCCTCAAAACCACGAAATTAGGATACGCATCAGAGCTGCTTTGGTAACAATAGCATGGATATGTTATAAAATGTGTGGTCTGAGCTAGATTATCGCATGGATGTGTGTCGTGTGGCAAATGGAACACACATCGACCATTTGTAATTTGAGGAGTAAACTTGGAGAGTTTCTGCTTCTTTTGATGTATCAATGATTATCGAATGTGCAGATAACATTTTGAAACCAGATTAATCAGTTATATAAGAATAACAGACTGGTGTTAGGAGTTACTTGTAGCTAAAAAGTGCAATGTACTCCTTGAAAATAGGCGCCTCAGCCAATGTTTCAACACATTCTTGTTCTTTTGTTTTGATGCTGACCTAGGCTTGAAAGTGAAAGACTGCAGCCTAGTTGAGATTTACGTACCCAAAACCACTTTAGATACGTTTGAAACACTAGTAGAGAAATCAATATTGCAAATCGTATATTTATGTATTGTGGGTTTTGTTTTCTTCACATACCTACAGTCATTATTTATAAAGTATTTAAGCAATGCTACAGTGTAACTGTAAGCCGAATAATCGCAAGGGGAATTAAAAATATCCGTAAGTACAAAGCGACTGTGGTAATTGATATGACGTGAACAATCAAAGTACCAATATAAATTACAGAAAGTTGACACATCGCGTCTTTTTTGTAGAATAAAGTGGAAAAAGAAATTGAACTTACTTGTTTAGTAACTGAATCGATAAGCCTCACGTAGATATCTTGCTCTTGTCGTACACCTAAAACAATAAATCAGTATATAACGCGTCAGTCGAAAGTAATAAAGGCAATTTGTGAGGAATGATGAACAAGAAAACAATTTTTACTAATATTTATTCTATACGACCGACGCGGCGGCGTTCCGCGCGCAGTCGAGAAATTATTACTTACTGCCACAATATTGACACACTGTCTTGCGGCTAGCTTTTGAATCATTAAAATGATAATGTTGAAGTTTACGACACGTCAAACTATCCCGATACTAATAGAGTTCGCTACAAGTATAGCAAGCTTTGATAAGAAAGCAGTGCGGGGGAGGTTGCGATAGCGCGAGAACAAAGACTCGGGCGGTGGTAAAGCCTTAGGGTTCGCCATCTTTCCAGTCCTAGGAGAGCATTTGTGGAGTTATTTTATTACAAATAAGGAGAGGAAGAGTGTTCCTTTGGGAAGTTGCTGAGTGAGGTGTGCTATGGCAAATGAGATACAACACCAGTTCGCTACATGTTACGCGCTCTTGTATATATTACCGAAATCTTCTGAGTTACTTCAAGTGTGTTTACATTTTAACAACTTTTACAACATATAAATTGAAGCGTTTAACTTTATCTTCCCGTTCATTTTTGTTCGGTCGTAAACATGAAGTTGTGAAATTGCATCGCGCCTTAATAAAAATGAATCAAACGGGCATGTTTCGGGATCGGCAATACAACAATTTATTTCACTTATTCTGCCTTGTTTCCATAGCGAAGCCTATGAATGAAACCTGTATTGACGGCGAACTTTATGTTCGAGACGGAAGCATCAATAAGGCAAATACTTGGAATGGTTTCATTTAAGAAGCGCGGATAGCAAATAAATATTAATTTTGCGTAGAGTAACAAAAGGGTTACTTCCCATTTTGGTGCATTTGATTGTCTAATTAATTTAATTGTAAATTTAATTAAAGTCAGGTTTGAAAAATATTTATTATTCATTTGGCGTCCTTATCCTGTATTCACTTCCTTATAAGTACAGTAAGCCGTGTTCTGTTCAAGTGTAGCTGTCGTTTTTCCATCAGGATCTAAAAGGAAATAAGACAGCGATGTGGCACACTGATAGAATTAATGGTCGGCTAATAAAACCGCGGATAGTCTAATTATAAAATTAATTAACGAAAAAAGACGAATTACATTTAAATTCTCCGGAGATAAGAAATTCTTCTTGAAACAGTGGGGGTGGTAAAGAGTTTACTAGGTTTACCCTTCGAGATGTTAGTGGTCGGTGTGGCTATTGTGGATTACGGAGTTATTTGTTTTAGGGCATGTGGTTTTCTTAGTTTGGACTTCAGGGACTACTTCTTAGTTAGATACGTGCATAATCAACCGTAGCAACTTTCCCTTTATGCGTACAGCATAAAAAAGAATGCACAACTTACCATTAGCATAAAGCAACTGAAGTCGATATTGAATTCCATTATTCGTTTTTGTTCCTTCAGATTCCTGTAACAAGAAAGTGAAAATAGAAATTCTTTATCATTTGGTTTTTTCCTACAACTATTAAATTACAGGTACACGAACAGAAACAGAAATTTATTATATCTCAAGTAAATAAAAATAACATTTTACGTAAAAATCACTCCGAAATGCTTCTAATTAATAATCCAGGTACTTATGCATACGTGTAGGTATTCAAAGCGGAAGCTTATATTGTTTCCTTCAAATCATATTATGCCCTACTTTAACAGACAGTACCTATTTTGTGAATATGTGTATCTTCGTGGCAGTAACGATAATCGGGTTTGATTATTCTATTAAATTAATCGATTAATCGATTATTTGATTAATCGGTTATTTGATTAATCGATTGTTTGATTAATCGATTATTTGATTAATCGGTTATTTGATTAATCGATTGTTTGATTAATCAATTATTAAGTAAATTTTAATTGATTATTATTAGCTGGATCATCAGTTTACGCAAAAAGGAGCACTCACAGCTCACAAGTATTATTTTATTTTATAGCGGATGTTAAAACGTCAATTTAAGCAGCTAAAATGAATTAAGATTGTATCATCAAAACTAAAGCACACCTCATCGGAGAGTAAGCTGCCTAATCATTTATTTTTATTTTTATTTTTGACCTTCATTTTCAAATGGACAGGGTTTCAGCCAAGGCTGTTCTACCAACCAACCCACTATGCATTTGCAAATATCCATGCCCGAACCCGGATTCGAACCAGGGACACTTTGTTGATTATTGATTAATCGATCTGACTAGTAATGAACGATTTGATGAAAAGAGTAATGGAATTATTTTTTATTTTTATTATTAAATAATTAACGTATTAATGCAACCAAACAGATATTTATCACTCCTTGTATGTGACAATCGACTTTTGATTAAACGATTAAGTGATTAATCGATGATTTGATTAATCGATTATTTGATTAATGGATTATTTGATTAATCGATTAATCAGTGTAATCGATTATTCAAACCCGTAATCGCCCAGCCCTAATTGTTAGTGCTAGATTAGTGCTGTTCGGTGCTCAAAAATTTCGACCCGCCATTTCATCTTTCCAAGAAAAAAGAAAAAAGCTAAAGTATTGTGTGAAGTTGGCCCCACCCATAACTCGTTAAAAAAATTATACGATCGTTAGTGATACCTTAGTGCTCTTTTGTGCTCGAATATTGCGAGTCTAACGTTTTACCTTTCCAAGATAAACAAAAAAAACTAAAATATTGTGTGAAGTTGCCCCCACCCGTGATTGGTTTTAAAAAAAAGAATAATACGATTGTTAGTGCTACGTTAGTGCTGTTTTGTGCTTAAAGATTACGATGCAGTATCTAAGAACCACGTGTTGTGTTTAAAAGTTTAAGTATATTTTATTTCTTTTACATATTGTCATAAATAAAACAAAATAAATAGGTATTATCGTGTACGAGCATTTTTTCGAATAAAAAATTCCTGAAATGAAAATAAAACTTAAAAATTTACTCCGTACATTAACACTAAAATCTTAGAAATAAAATAAAATTTTAGTGCACTATATTTCTGATTTACTGCTTACACAAGTTTTCATTATGTACATTACATTATGAACGAATGAACCGCAATACTTTATTCAAAGATGGTTGGAGCCGACAATGAAACGGAGTGTGATCTGTAGCGAAAAATGGATTGTTAGACTACCTACTGCGCATACAATCACCAAAGCATAGAGCACTGCAGAAAATGGACCGCTCTGTGTTGTACAATACATTAGCAATACGCAGACGGGTCTTAACCACGTCATCATGTGGTATAGTGTGGCGTTTAGTGTCATTGGTTGAGAAACTTTCTGACCATATTTGCCGTGTTTAGTAATATATGGCCTTCTGTATGTTTGTGTGTATATGAGAGTACGACCGGTAGGGTAGTATTGTTACTTATTCTAGCTTCCAGAGTTCTTTGAGTTCTACTCGTATTGCTAGTGGAGTATACTTGATGATCTTTTCTTGCTCTTTGTGTATGAGATTAAAGGTACAACATTTAACTTTCTCGTCATCGACTTATCAACACACCATTGGATACAATCAATCACAATTCAGAAATAAATACTATAAAACAAGTAGCGCAAAATTTCAATGGCTATAAGTATTTATTCACTTCTAATACAACATTATAACACCTTAAAAATAATTAAATTTTGATAGTAACCCATGTAGCTTTATTTTATTTTATACTTACCACTCAATACCAATGTAGAAATTCATCGAAAAAGTTAGAATTACTCATTTAAGACGTTACCCTTTTCTTAGGGTTACATATGGCGTAAGATGTAACTATATAAACAAGTTAAACTAGTTGTCAGGTAAACTCCTGACTTGACTTTCCGACTACTTTTAATAGTCATTGCAATTATTATCTTTGATCATAGTATAACATTTAGAAAATGCCCTCTAGCGCCTTTATTTTGAACCCAACGCAAAAAGTGTATAAGCTTTTTTGTAGATCTCATAAAGACCCATCTTTTATTGTAATTAACACTTTTCACTTTGATGCTTACTTTTACAGGAAAATGCAAATTAAAAAAATAAAATAAATAGTTTAACTTTTCAATTCAAAACTTCTTAAAAACAAAGGAACTCACAAAAAAATTGTAATGAAATTTTTTGTAGAGTTTTTTAAGCCATTTTGGCCAGTGTATGCGAAAAAAATTTAAAAAAATTTTTTCAAGCCTTTATGACTTTTAAACTTTTGACACCCCTAACAACCATGAAGATGGTTACGAATCAAAACCAAAATAGGAAGTTTTCGATTCCCCATACCACCCTATATGCACCGTCCAAATAGGTTCAGGGGTTTTTTAGTTATCGTGTTCACGAACCACATACACACACCCACACACACAGACGTCAAGCTAAAAATCACTATTTTGGGGTCTGTGTACTTCAAAACGTCCAGAAAACGCAATATTGGTATATCGAAAATTTATCACGATTACAATACTTTCCTTTATATATACAGGGTGGGGCAGAGGAACTTGATGATTTGTATTCGGCGTCCTTAGGCGACGGTTGCTCCGACGAAAGTGGGGATAGGTATATTTGAGAGAAGGGCATATAAAGTTTTTCCGCCGCGTGGTGTAGTCACCATCATGGAGTGAACGAAGGCGGAACGCGCGTTCGCCGTCGAGGCATACTTTTCTAACGGTCGCACAGTCATAGCCACGCAACGTGCATCCCGTACTTATTTTAATATCGCGCCACGTGGACGTAATCTTGACCGGCAATCGATTGTTTCATGGGAAACAATTTTAGGGAAACTGGTGATGTGAAGAAAAAAACCCTGGGCCTTCACGAACAGCAAGGACATCGCAAAACATTGATAGAGTAGGCTTTCTGTTTTGCAATCCCCTCGGCGCTCTGCACGCAAACATGCAGCTGCACTCAGGTTATCTGCTCATTCTGTGAGGAGAATCCTTCATGAAGAACTAAAGTTTCACCCCTATAAATTTGTCATAGTGCAGGAGCTTAATCCACGCAATGTGGTTGCTCGAGAAAATGCATGTGAGGCGCTTCTTGGTATGGCTGACGACCATTTGCCAGATATCATCTTTAAAACTGTCTAAACATAAACTTTAAATGTTGTACTTGATGATGGAAAAGTAATTAAATCAATATTTGCAAAGTTTTTGTTTTATTGAATTCCTAAATCAGCAAGTTCCTCTGCCCCACCCTGTACTTCGTATGTAGTCGGAAAGTAAAAAACTAAAACCATTGGCTCTAGCCAAATTCGTTTTTTAACTATATATTTAACCAATAAAATCCGTCCACAAGTAAAAAAGTTAGCACTGCGCATGCACAACCTATTCATGTCATTTCAACTTGATTTTATAAGAATCAATTTAGCGCATAGAATTTAGAAGCACACAAATCTGATACAACTGAATACCGAACGATCATCGAGATCTTCATGCATCCATCAATTTTACAACACACCTCCTTAAGGAGTTGATTCCGTCCCCTCAGATCAGTATAGCTTTTAAAACAAATTTTTTAATTTGGTATTAGTTTTACTTTTATTCGATGTGCGTATATACAAAATTTCATTTAAGTATAATAACAAATAAAAAAATTGGATTGCGCAAATGCTAAAGCTGGGTTACGCATGAGCAAGTTTTTTAAATTCGTCTGAATAGTTGCTAGAGGTTTAAGTAATATGTACTAACACAGAAAAGCCGGACATTCGTATGTTCTTTGTAACAAAAATGATACAAGAACCCTATTTTTTTCAGGTTTGGTTAGTTTTTGGGCAGTAACTTTTTGGCCCGTGAGTCTACATAGCTGAAAAACAATAGCGACCTCTTTTGTATCCTTGAGGACATGCGTACCAATTTTCAAACCGATCCGACAGATAGACAGACAGACAATACAAAATTATGTCTAGGGGATCGTTAATAAACGGCAAAAGTCTAAAGTTATGGTACATGAAAAAATTGATTTTTTACTACAACTTTTTTAGACGAAGAAGAAACGCAGAAAATATTCCTTCCTTCGAGCAAACCTGGACAAAGATCTAGTTGCGACCGGACGGATGGACAGACGGACGAACAAAGAGCCCATAATAGCGCATTTTTTTATTTTTATGGAAATACGCTAAAAAGGGTCCAACATGTTTTTGTTAAGTAACCATAGCAGATAAAGACTTTTTTGAAACATTTTTTAAAGAAAATGGGAACCAAAATATTTTCGTTGGGAGCTATGTCCCGGGAAGTCCAAGATTTGTTTCTTTCATTTTTTCACGGCAACCAAAAAATATAGGTATATAGAAATTTTTTTAAACTCTCATACATAAGTAGGTATACCGCTCATTCTGTTCTTCTATGTGTGACAAATAGGTACACTGAGAAAAATCTTAAAGAAGAAACTCAATTTTGGGAGTTTTTGGGACGTAACTCCTTGTTGCTTGGAAAAAAATGTACCCATCTTTTCTCCACCCAATTGTAGATACTA